GGGAGCTCCAAAAATATCTAGAAAACACCTAAATGCTATACAAAAATGACCATAGAATTTATTAATTTATTTGCAATTTTAAGGCCTTAAAACCATTGTTTGTTATATTTTGTAATAAAGCAATAACAATATTAAAGAAAATTTGTAAAGACCGCACACAAAATTTACCTATTTTGTGAAATTTTTTTTTTATATTCTCTCGTCTTTGTTCACATGTAAATGGATAATTTTTTATATTAACTACTCTTTTGATTATCATTCTTTAAAATATTTTTTTTATTGATTTCAGAGAGAAATAGAGAGGTAGAGAGAGATAGAAACATCAATGATGAGAGAGAATCATTGATTGGCTGCCTCCTGCACGCCCCCTACTGAGGATCGAGTCCACAACCTATGCCATTGGCTGGAATAGAACCCGAGACTTTTCAGTACTTGGGCTCACACTCTATACACTGAGCCAAACCAGTAGGGCTTGATTAATCAGTTATTTTTTTCAAATATTTCTCAACTGAAAGATTAACTAAAAATGGTTTTCAAACATAATTATATTTACAATGTTGGATCCATTTAGCATATAATTTTTCCTTTATTAGCAGACTTCATTTTAATTGTGTTTTAATTGCAAAGCCACTTCACTACTCAGTTGTGCAACTGAACTCTAACCCCCTTTAACAGGTAAATAGTGCAAGGTTCCCCAGATTGATTTTTCGTTCTGTTTCCAGTTAACCTTCAAATAGAGGATAAGATATATGTCAGCTAACAGTGATTTCTGTATGGCAATTTCCCTGTCCCAGCCCTACTGCACTTTAATGACAAGGACATGAATTGGAAGCACACTATAGAATTTCTTATTCTGTATTTTTACCCCTTCTCTGCTTTTTCATTCCATTTGTGTGGATTGTCAGCTGATTAAGTTCCTTGAGAGAGAGAGAAAGCAAGGGAGAGAGAATATTACTAAATCAATAGTATTGCTTCATCTCCCAAAAGAATTTTTCAGGAACTGGAAAATAGTATTAACTAGTTACGTAGTATCAGAGTATATAAAGCATTTTATTTTGATCAGCCTCTCAAGTAGATATTTCTATTCTTATTTTCTCCAGGGCAGCCTTCTCTGTGTCTTTTCTAGAAACCTCCTACAATGTGCTCATATAGTTCCTGATACTTCCTCTCTTGTTGCATTGATAATAGTTATTCTAGTTACTATTATTGTGTGTTTTTTGGTAGAAAAACCAGCAAGAACTTATTAACCATAGCAAAAATATACTTAGGGCAGTGAAACAAGGAAGGGCATAAGAAGGAGCAACAGGAGAGCCTAAGCTGGGCTGCTTTGGCTCCTGGGAAGTCAAAGAAAAGGGGAAAAATGGGCCTTGGAAACAGGTTTAACTCAGGATGAGCTGCCACTGCTCATTGCTCCTCTGGTTGCAAGTCTCATGGGGGTCCCTTAGAGTTTAGGGAATACCTGCTGGGGGTATGGGAGGGGTTGGAGAGGTGGAAGGGAATGTCATGGGTGTGCTCCATGGAGAGATAGTGCATCTAATTATTTACTGACTCTTCCTTGCTCAACTGCTACCCTGTTTTCCCGAAAATAAGACAGTGTCTTATATTAATTTTTTCTCCCAAGTTGCGCTAGGTCTTATTTTCAGGGGATGTCTTATCTTTCCATGTGCTAGGTCTTATTTTCGGGGAAACCCGGTAGTACCTGACAGACCAGAGACTATTTGTCTTGGTCACTGCAGTATCTCTAGTGCCTAATACAATGCCTGGCACATGATTGATATTCAACAAATAGTTGTTGGGTGAATTTGTTGAATTGGTGTTGAATTGTATGTGTTCTTTATAAATTTTGGATATTAACCCCTTATCCTATGTATATCTTTGAATTTTTGGTATTAGTAGACTCCAATTAATATAACCTATGATTCTAGGAGAATAGCAGTCACAAAATTGCTTACTCCCCTGCCTTAATCTGTTCTCCTTCACTGACAAACATAGATACTGCTTATTTGTACTCCTCCACTTACTTGAAGCTATTTGAGGAATTCCCTGTTTTTATTTATTTATTTAATATATTTTTATTGATTTCAGAGAGGAAGGGAGAGAGAGAACAAAGAAATAGAAACATCATTGATGAGAGAGAATCAATGATCGGTCGCCTCCTGAATACCCCCCACTGGGGATGTGCCCTTGACCAGAATCAAACTTTGGACCCTTCAGTCTGCAAGCTGACGCTCTATCCACCGAGCCAAATCAGCCATTGTAGGAATTCCCTGTTTTCAATATAAAATAAAAAGAAAAAAGATCAAACTTCTTTGTTAACAGAAACAAAATAGTGGTGTCCCTATTGAATTGAATAGGGGAAAAGGCATTAGCTTAGTTTATATCATTTAGTTAAGAAATAGTTTGCAATTTAAGATTTCTTTTTATTCCCTTAGAAATCAAAGAAATTTTATAGAAAAAAAAATAAAAGAACGACACCTTTGCAAGTAGAGAATTTTATTATTGCGACTACAATTATTACTAATTGGAATAATTGGAACTCAGGGAATAAGGGGCATTTAGTCCAACTTTTCATCTGTTGCTTAGACCTATCAAAGGCTTTGTATTAGTATGTATTTGATAGTATGTATTTGAATAATCTCATTGAGGAGGTTCTTACCACTTCAAAGGCAGGGCATTCTCTCTTTGGACAGCTCTGATTCCTAAAAACTTTTCTCCCTTTCCTGAGTCAGTGTATCTCTGCATAGAGGACTTGTTTTGCTTTATAATCTTTGAAGTAAACTTCTTCTCCTCAGTTCAGCTAGGACATGGATCATGCTAGTAAATGAATAGTTCCAATTTGTGGTAGAGAATAAGACCCCTTACTCATTTTATTCATTTTTTATTTCTTGTAGACTTCAAAAGCTCATCAACTTTACACAATTTAGTATCAAATTTTTGAAATATTTAAATGTATTTGTATGAATATAATGCACTTTTTCTTGATGATTTAAGATCATTGTTATGAATTTCAGGTACTCTTCTCTCTGGTGATGCCCTCATGGCATGTGGAGTTTTGTAGGACTGTTTTCCTATTCATTCTTATTCAGTTAAAAGACATTTAGTGAGTCACCACTTCCTGGCTTTTTACATGCAAAGAAGATATAGAAATGAATGAGATTGCCAAGACAGCTCAGCTGGGAGAACTTTAGGTTAAAGATATAAAGTTCATTGGTTTGATCTAGAGTTTCAGGGGCTTTGTTATATCTCAACTAGAGGCCCGGTGCATGACATTTGTGCACTTGGGGGGCAGGGGTGTGGAGGTCCCTCAGCCTTACATATTATCCTTTTATTATATAGGATAAAGCTATCACATAGAAAAAAGAAGAAATAATGAAACACACATCTATAATGAGGACTATGTTGTGGGACAGAAATGTAATATTTCTCTACTATAATATGGTCAATTCTAGACTAGAAGGGAGGAGGGTGAACTATAAGGCAAACAGATCATCCCGCCAAGTACACAAACATGTGCTCTGGTATAAGGGTCAGCCTGCATGGAGGGTCCCTGGCACAGCAATCATTTCTGCTGGGCTTAAAGCATATGGAAATAAGAGTCAGGAGATTGGGTTGTGAAGGGAACTCTGTGTGGCTTCAGGAGTTTGGACTTTATTCTTTCATGAATTTTAAGTCAGAAGACTGATATGATTAGATTTTTTTTTTTTTTTTTTTTTTTAAATATATTTTATTGATTTTACACAGAGAGGAATTGAGAGGGACAGAAAGTCAGAAACGTCGATGAGAGAGAAACACCGACCAGTTGCCTCTTGCACACCCCCTACTGGGGATGAGCCCGCAACCAACGTACATGCCCTTGACCGGAATCGAACCCGGGACCTTTTAGTCCGCAGGCCGACGCTCTATCCACTGAGCCAAACCGGTCCCAGCTGATATGATTAGATTTTTAAAAATACTGGTAGCACTGTGGAAAATAATAATAGTGTTTCTAAAACTTTGATCATACATATTATATCTTTGCTTCTTTGCCATATTTGGGCATGCTTTTGGGATGATGAGATAGATCAGCAGGAGCAGGCATAACTGATGAACTGAATTCCTTATATATTTAATGGCCATAGTCTCTGAGTATCTGTGACTGCCTTTGTGTGTGTGTGTGTGTGTGTGTATGTGTGTGTGTGTGTGTGTGAGAGAGAGAGAGAGACTGCTTTTTGTAGTTTTTAAAAAAATATATTTTATTGAATTTTTACAGAGAGGAAGGGAGAAGGATAGAAAGCTAGAAACATCGATGAGAGAGAAACATTGATCAGCTGCCTCCTGCACACCCCCCACTGGGGATGTGCCACAACCAGTGTACATGCCCTTAACCACAATCGAACCTGGGACCTTTCAGTCCGCAGATCGACACTCTATCCACTGAGCCAAACCGGTTTCTGCTGCTATTTATAGTTTCTCCCTTGTTAACTGATTATCATTTCACTTTGGTAATACTCTTGGCAAAGCAAACTTGTTCCCCAACATCCCTTCCAATGTATAGCTAGCTGAAAAATCCAAATAAGCCTATGGACTGACCCATGAATATAGTGCATGACCTTCAGTGAGTTGGTTTGGAGACATCTATTTTAATCCTTAGAGGACTTTTTTCCTGGTTTTGATCTTATTTCAGATCTTTATAACTAAGCCATCCAACAACTTCATAAAAGTGAAATATAACTGTTATTTGTTTAAAAGATCATAATCACCCATTTAAAAACATTTTTAATTTTATTTTAATGTAGGTGATTGGAGTTGCGCTTCAAAAATTCCAGCAGTTCAACAGTATTTTATTTGCCAACAATAAATTCTTTACTTGATCGAACCATGAAAAAGCTGCTAATGAGACTTGTTGAGCATAAAAACGGACCTGAAGAACCAAAAGCCATTGTTTTCAAATGAAGAATATTGAGTAGTTTTCAGCCTCCATGCTTTTGAATCACTACTGAGATTTCCCCCATAACATCAGAATGGCAAGCAGGCGAAAATCAACAACACCCTGCATGGTCCTTGCCAGTGAACAGGATCCAGACCTCGAGTTGATATCAGATTTGGATGAAGGGCCTCCTGTACTCACTCCTGTAGAAAACAGCAGAGCAGAGAGCATCTCAAGCGAGGAAGAAGTTCATGAATCTGTGGATTCTGACAATCAGCAAAATAAAAAAGTTGAAGGTGGTTATGAATGTAAATATTGTACTTTTCAAACTCCAGACCTAAATATGTTTACTTTTCATGTGGATTCAGAGCATCCCAACATAGTGCTAAATTCCTCCTATGTTTGTGTCGAATGTAATTTTCTCACCAAAAGGTATGATGCACTTTCTGAGCATAATCTGAAGTACCACCCAGGAGAAGAGAATTTTAGGTTGACTATGGTGAAACGAAATAACCAGACAATCTTTGAACAAACTATAAACGATCTGACTTTTGATGGTAGTTTTGTTAAAGAGGAGAACTCAGAGCCGGCTGAATCTACAGAAGTTCCTTCTTCAGGAATTCCTATCAGTAAAACTCCCATTATGAAAATGATGAAAAATAAAGTGGAGAACAAGCGTATTACAATTCATCATAACTCAGCTGAGGATGTTCCTGAAGAGAAAGAGAAAGAGATCAAACCAGACCTTGAAGAAAGTGTGGAAAATCCTACTTCTTCAGCTTCTGACTCTAATACCAGTACTTCCATTGTCAACAGAATACACCCAAATGCTGCCAGCACGATAGTGGCCCCAGCAGCAGTTCTTCCTGGACTAGCACAGGTGATAACCGCTGTGTCAGCTCAGCAGAATTCCAATCTGATTCCCAAAGTCTTAATTCCTGTGAGTAGCATTCCTACCTACAATGTTGCATTGGATAACAACCCCCTTTTGCTTAACACCTACAAAAAATTCCCTTACCCAACCATGTCAGAAATTACTGTTCTATCCGCTCAAGCAAAATATACAGAAGAACAGATCAAGATATGGTTTTCAGCCCAACGTCTAAAACATGGTGTGAGCTGGACTCCCGAGGAAGTAGAGGAGGCAAGAAGAAAGCAATTCAACGGAACAGTACACACTGTACCTCAGACCATAACTGTTATTCCGACACACATTTCCACGGGGAGTAATGGCTTACCATCCATTTTACAGACATGCCAAATAGTTGGTCAGCCAGGCCTGGTTCTTACACAAGTAGCTGGAACAAACACCTTGCCGGTAACAGCGCCGATAGCCTTGACAGTGACAGGGGTGCCAAATCAAAGCAGTGTACAGAAGAGTCAGGCCCCTGCTGCTCCGCCTCCTGCAGAAGCAAAACCAGCAGCAGCAGCCAAAGCAGCAGCAACAGCAGCAGCAGCAGCAACGGCAGCAGCAGCAACAGCTGCAGCAGCAACAGCCGCAGCAGCAAAAGCACCACCAACAGCCGCAGCAGCAACAGCCGCAGCAGCAACAGCCGCAGCCGCAGCCGCAACGGCAGCAGCAGCAGCAACGGCAGCAGCAGCAACAGCAAAGGCAGCAGCAGCAGCAGCACCAACAGCAGCAGCACCAACAGCCACGGCAGCAGCAGCAGCAACAGCAGCACCAACAGCAATGGCAGCAGCAGCAGCAACAGCAACGGCAGCGGCAGCAACGGCAGCAGCAACTGCAAAGGCAGCACCAACAGCAGCAGCACCAACAGCAGCAGTCCCAACTTCTCAGGCTGTCAAACACGAAACCACACCGGCAAACCCCGATTCATTTGGCATTCGGGCAAAAAAGACTAAAGAGCAACTGGCAGAATTAAAAGTCAGCTACCTTAAAAATCAGTTTCCTAGTGACTCAGAAATCAGCAGACTTATGAAAATTACAGGCTTGACAAAAGGAGAGATTAAAAAATGGTTTAGCGACACGAGGTACAATCAGAGAAATTCAAAGAGTAATCAGTGCTTACATCTCAACAGTGATTCCTCCACTCCCATTATTATAGACTCCAGTGATGAGACTACGGAATCCCCAACCGCTGTTACTTCACAGCATAAACAATCCTGGAATCCTTTCCCCGACTTTACTCCCCAGAAGTTTAAAGAAAAGACAGCAGAGCAGCTCCAGGCCCTTCAGGCCAGTTTTCTCAACAACTCCATACTGACAGATGAAGAATTAAATAGGTTAAGAGCGCAAACCAAACTGACCAGGAGAGAAATTGATGCTTGGTTTACAGAGAAGAAGAAATCAAAAGCTTTAAAGGAAGAGAAAATGGAAATAGATGAAACTAATGCAGGTAGTTCCAAAGAAGAAGCGGGAGAACCTGCTCCTGGAGATGAATCTGGTGCACCTAAGGCCGGGAGTGCAGGCAAGATATGTAAAAAAACACTTGAGCAATTGCACATGCTCAAAAGTGCATTTGTCCGATCCCAGTGGCCGTCATCGGAAGAGTATGACAAGCTGGCCAAAGAAAGCGGGCTTCCGAGACCAGACATAGTTAGTTGGTTTGGGGACACCCGTTACGCTTGGAAAAATGGAAACTTAAAGTGGTACTACTACTATCAAAGCTCCAATTCGAGCGGTCTGAATGGTCTGTCTGCCCTTAGGAGAAGGGGGAGAGGAAGACCCAAAGGAAGGGGAAGGGGAAGGGGGAGAGGAAGGCCACGAGGAGGCAAGAGAATGAACAACTGGGACAGGGGGGCGTCACTCATAAAATTTAAAACTGGAACTGCAATACTTAAGGATTATTACCTGAAGCACAAATTTCTTAATGAGCAAGACCTTGATGAACTTGTTAACAAATCACACATGGGCTACGAGCAGGTCAGAGAGTGGTTTGCCGAAAGACAGAGAAGATCAGAGTTAGGTGTAGAGTTATTTGAGGAAAATGAGGAGGAAGATGAAGTTATTGATGATCAGGAAGAGGATGAAGAAGAAACAGATGATAGTGACACCTGGGAACCCCCACAACATGTGAAGCGGAAGCTTTCTAAATCAGATGACTGAAATGTAAGTTTTAATCCAAGCATATATTCATCAACCACACACATTTAGCCATCTCCACTTTTGATAGTTTTCTTAGTTTTTCTTTTACCTAATAAGAGAACTAGGTACTAGGAGTATAGCCAAAAATATGTGATTAGCATTTATAGCCTGATTATTATGATTGTTCTGTTTAATATGTAGAGTTTAGTGTTTTTTACTTTGTTTTAAGGGAAAGTCAACCCATTTTCTAAGAAGGGAGACTGGTGGGTATGAGGGAATAAACAAATACTAAAGATAACTAAAAAGTAGTTTTTGTAACCCTCCTCCACTAAAGCTTCATTTTTTGCCTATTTAAGGAAATTAAAAAAGGGAAACTAAAAAGAAGGGGGAAAGTATACTGCAGGAAAGACTTGCCACAGGGGTGAGGATTGCTCAGTTTCAAGAAACTAGGTGAAAATGGTATCCTTTTTCTTCCATTGTATTACCCCCAAACTATTAGATTTTTAACTAAAGTTTAAAATGCTTTATGTATTAAAAATAACTCAATATTTTTTCTATTAAAAGCCAAAGGTCTATTTTAGGCCATATATAAGTTCCACGTTTACTTGGATGGCATCTGTTTTTAAAAAGTGTAATATAGCTAAAACCGGTTTGGCTCTGCGGTAGAGCGTCGGTCTGCGGACTGAAAAGTCCTGGGTTTGATTCTGGTCAAGGGCATGTACATTGGTTGCTGGCACATCCCCAGTGGGGGGTGTGCAGGAGCCAGCTGGTTGATGTTTCTCTCTCATCGACGTTTCTATCTCTCTATCTCTCTCCCTTACTCTCTGTAAAAAATCAATAAAATATGTATTTTTTAAAATAATAAAAACTGTAATATAAATTATTTCTGTTTTAGAGATCAAAAGGTAAACATCAAATTTGATATTAAATTAACTCAATTGCCTAAAATGTCTTTTTCTTCTTTGATATAAAATAAACCTGCTACCAGCAAAAATGCTATATTTAGTTAAAAATATCTCCCTATAGTCATAAAAATGGAAGTAAATATGCTTTAAATATAAAAGTTTGGCATATTCCTTAAATCTTCATTCTTTTATAGGTTGGATTAATTAAAATGTCACTGTTGCATATTAGATATCTAGTTTGGAGTTAGGACTTCAATTCTTTTTTTTTTTAAATATATTTTATTTTTAAAAAATATATATTTTATTGATTTTTTACAGAGAGGAAGGGAGAGAGATAGAAAGCTAGAAACGTCGATGAGAGAGAAACATCGACCAGCTGCCTCTTGTAGACCCCCCCACCGGGGATGTGCCCGCAACCAAGGTACATGCCCTTGACCGGAATCGAACTCGGGACCTTTCAGGCCACAGGCTGACGCTCTATCCACTGAGCCAAACCGGTTTCGGCCAATTCTATATATATATATATATATATATATATATATATATATATATACACACACACACACACACACACACACACACACACACATATACATATATATATGATTATTGACTTATAATATATATTATTGATTTCTTTAAGAAATCAATATTTTCTTTATATATTCTTTATATATATAATTGATTTATTTACAGAGAATAAGGGAGAGAGAGAGTTAGAAACATTGATCAGCTGCCTCCTGCACACGCCCTACTGGGGATGTACCCGCAACCAAGGTACATGCCCTTGACTGGAATCAAACGCTCTATCCACTGAGTCAAACCAGTTTCGGCAAGGACTTCAATTCTTAATGCTTTTAGAATTCAGTAGCATTGTTCTGTTCTTTACTCTCAGTTTTTGAGTGTTCTAGGATAAAACTGTACTTTTAAAAAAGAAACAATGCAGTTTTCATGAAATGTTTGTATATGTCTATCAATAGTCCAAAAGCATCTTATTATCCGAAATTACTGCAGTGTTGTCAGATTGTAAGGGAGGAAACGAGGCATAGACTCTTATGATCATATGAGCATATTTATGTATTTCCCTAGCTTTTTGCATCCCTATCCCAGCCTCTATTTTTACCCTCTTTTTCTGCACAGTATCTCCTTCATTCCCCCACGACTTCCTTCATGGTTTTATTTATTTTGTTATAACAATTGCTTATAGAAAGCTTAATGTGTCCCAGACACTATTCTTACTGTTTAGCAATCCTTTTCCAAGTTTTCTTTTCATGAACATTTTTTTTCAGGCAGAGAAAAAGATGAAACTAAAAATGCACTTACTTTAAAATAAATCTCATGCACTTACTTTTGAATAAATCTCATTTGTGTTATAGAACAAACTGTATTGTAGGTTATAAGTTAAATAGCTTTGTACAGCTTTATCCTGAGGCAGTCCTCCATTTCCTAATGTCAGAACTCTTCAGGACAGGCTTTCTTCTGACCCAGATGCATAAAATATTTTTAACAGGCTTTTTCTGTTTTTATTGCTAGACACAAGAATGTGCACTCAGCCAAGATTAAAACAACAACATTTTTGCTGCAATGAATTGTTGTAGTAACCTCTGCAGTGATTTTCTGGGGAATTGCAGTCTTCTAAAACTAATGTGAACATTTTATATACTTTAGTTTGACTTTTAAGTTTGTGTGGATGATTATTATATTAATACGTTAATAGGTACTATGGTAAAATATTTCACACAAAGCCACAGTTTTCAAAAATTGTGTCATATATGTTATACGTGTACTTTTGTGGTAAATATGCAAACTTGCCTTGCTCTTAAAATATGCAAAAGTCTAGCCCTGGCCATTATGGTTTAGTGCAGTGGTCGGCAAACTCATTAGTCACCAGAGCCAAATATCATCAGCACAACGATTAAAATTTCTTTTGAGAGCCACATTTTTTAAACTTAAACTTCTTCTAACACCACTTCTTCAAAATAGACTTGCCCAGACCATGGTATTTTATGGAAAAGCCACACTCAAGGGGCCAAAGAGCCGCATGTGGCTCAAGAGCTGCAGTTTGCTTAGTGACCTGTGGACTGACGGGTCCCAGGATCAGTTCCGGTCAGGGGCACATGGCCAGGGTGTGGGATCAACTTCTGGCGGGGAGTGTGCAGGAGGCAGCCAGTCAGTGATACTTTTTCATTGTTGATTTCAAGGTTTCTATCTATCTCTCCCTTTTTCTCTCCTCTGAAATTAATAAAAATATATTTTAAAATATATATATGCAAAAGTCTGAAATTATAAAGACATTAATTAACAAATTATTGGCTTAACAAATTAAGTTTTTACCTTACAAAAGAATTCACTGTAAGTTTCCTCTCAATAGTTACTTTTTCATTTAAATATAGTGCAACTTACCAAAAAAAATAACCAAACCTTTCCAAAATAGTTATTGCAAAAAGTGAGATACAGTAGTACCCCCTTATCCTTCTGGGATATGTTCCAAAATCCTCACAGATAGTACCAAGCCTCTTATAAACTATGTTTTTTTCCTGTATGTATGTACCTATGATAAAGTCCAATTTATAAATTAAGTACAGTAAGTGATTAACAATAACTAATAAAATAGAACAATTATAATATCCTATATAATAAAAGTCTAATATGCTAAGTGTCTAGTTATCCAGTCAGCCATTCAACCAATCTAAGTGTAATATGCTAATGATATGCTAAGGATGCTCAGCCGCTTGCTATGACGTGCACTGACTACCAGGAGGCAGATTGGTAAGTTAGCTTGCTGCTGGGGTCCGGCTAATAGGGACTGAGTGAAATGGGCTGGACATGGCCCTGGTGGTCTCTCCCCAACCCTGATTGTGCACTGGTGGGGTCCCTCAGGCTGGCCTAAATCCTCTCGCAATCTGGGACCCCTCAGAGGATATCAGAGAGCTGGTTTCAGCCCAATCCTGCAAGCCATGCTGAGGGACCTCACTGATGCACGAATTCGTGCACCGCGCCTCTAGTACTGTCATAAAAGTTATGTGAATGTGGTGTCTCTCTCTCTGATAACTGATCAGATAATCCAGAGGACTACTCAGTGGCAAATGGGCAGGTAGTATATACAATATAGATCTGCTGATCAGAGGAATAATTGATGTCTTGGGCAGGATGAAGGGAGGTGATGTGAGATTTCATCATGCTGCTCAGAACAGCATGCAATTTAAAACTTATGTTTATTTCTGGAATTTTCCATCTAATATTTCTGGACTGTGGTGGACCACAAGTAACTGAAGCCACAGAAAGTGAAATCATTGATAAGGAGCATTACTGTACATTTGTGTCTTGCACAGTCCAACCTTGTACAGTAAGTCCTCATTTAATGTTGTCAATATGTCTGTGACCATAAGCAAAGTGATGTATAAGGAAACCAATTTTATCACAGGCTGATGGATATAAGCAAAAATTAATTTCCTGCAGCATCTCATTATGTTATAAAAAAATGGTGTTGGACAAATCAAAGTTATTTGAGGACTTGATGTATATAAATAGAAAAAAAATACAAGAGTTTAGATTTGATAGTTTACTTATTACAGATACTGACAATGAAATATATACTTACTAATAATTTTAAATTATGTATTTCATATAGGTATATGCAATATAGGTAAGAAATTATTACATATAGGTGAAAATGACTTTAAAGCAAGTCTAGTATATGCAGAACATATACATAGGAATTGCACACAAAATCTAGTGCATTATATATTTGGAAGTGATCTCAGTATTACTGAGTGATTACAAAGGATGTGCTTTCATGGCTAATTTCTATTATTTTTATTTCTAAAAGAGGTAAACATTAAAGTATGATTTCCTTTAAATTTTTAGTTTTTTATTGTGTGTTTTTTTGTGTGTGTTTTTTTATAGCTGCCTAAAACGTTGGAGGAGAATCAATTCTTCAACTCAAGCTATCTGATTTACTGTGAATGGGCCCCATCTTTAATGACCCTGAAACCCTTTGGGAGCATACACATTCTCAAAAAATAGGATCCAGAATCCAAAAGAAATGGAACTTAATGTTGTGCCAAAGTTAAACTACTGCAGCTGGTGGAAGTTCTGCAATGTAAATAGAACACA